CTATTACCACCTGCTTTTCTTCTAACTCTTTTTGAAAAAAAAAGTTTTTTAATAAAAGTTCAATTTCCTCAAACATTGGTGTTTTTATGGGTACCACTTTTTTAAATCAGTTCTTGGATACTTGTTTGAAAACCTCCAAGTATCCTCCAAGTTTTTGCAAAAAGTATCATTTGAGTGTATATTTTAATAAATCATTTTTTTGTCCTATGAGATTTTTTTAAAAATTTTTTTACTACTGGTATGTTTCTTTATTATTATAGATTTCTATTTAATTAAAATAGATATGAAAAAAGTAAATGTTTATAGTTTTGTACAGGTTGAATGAGAAATACAAAAATAATAGAAAAATGCTACTTTAGTTAGGTCATGATGTAACAATAATAATTTAGAAAGAGAAAATATGTGTGAAAAAATGTAAATAAAAATAAACAATAAAAAATATCATCGATTTTTTTATTGTAAGTAATTATGACGTCTTTTATTTCTATATTTTTTTGTCACACATCATTGCAGCAAATCTACAAAATTACTCCCACTTGCTTTCGCTTTGGAAAAATAGTTATTTGTTCTACAAGGGAGTGATACAAAGTGTATCTTTTCCTTCAAAGGAAAAGACGCTTTCCTCCGGTATAATACACATAATTTTTTCTACGACTCAGCAAAAAAAACTAAGAATTTAATGGTAAAAAGAGGTAAAAGGAAGTAGCATTTTTATTTCCCTGGGATGTAATTGTCCACTTTCCTTCCTGAAATTAGAGTGGAAAACTCTTTCTGTTAGAGTCGCGGGAAAAGTTTTTTAATAATATTTTTAAATACTAAAATTTTTCTTTAACCACTAAGTAAATTCTTTTTTTTAATTAAGAGTATGTATTCTTAGGATGCTTGTTTAAAAAAATCAAATAAAATTTAAAAAAAAGTAACAAAATCGCAAGAAATTTAAAAATCAGAAAACAAACAAAAAAATCAAGTATAACGTATTTAATTAATTAGTCAAAATTCGATTGCAATTATATTCTGCAAACCGTGCCTCACAGTTTATTTATTTCATACGCAAATTGTACAAAAATATTTTTTTCGTTTTAAATTACATCTGGCATCAGTGCAAGCAAACACATCACTCTCAATACTGGACCAAATATAACTTGTTGTACAAAGAAGAACTGCACATTTAACTTGCACAAAAAAAAACAGTGGGTGGAAATAATTGGACCCAACTCAACTATTTTTGCAATAAAATTTCAAACACAAACTTTCTACTGCAACCTATTTTTGAAAATGAAAAAAATACGAAAAATTAATACAAACTCCAGCCTGAAGCCTGACCCCCAACTACTCTATTTATATTTTTAAATAAATATTTTGTGTTGAAAATCTATTTTAAAATCTGTCATATTTCTTCGCAGTTCGAATGTTTTTCAATAGTTTTGCGTGCCATAACTTTCGTTTCCCATATTATATTTTAAAGAGACAATAAAAAATCAAATCTGTCACACTTAATTAACTGGAAATAACAACACGGGCTTAATTTTTACACTAGAGTACGTGCCAAGCCATAATTCTCATAGTGAAGCTAAACAGACACGAGAAATTAACACATTTCTTTGAAATTACGTATAAATTAGCATTAATTAATAAGTAGTTGGCTCGAAAATGGCCATCAGGCAGTACCATTCTCGATATTTGCATAAAAAATTATCTTGAGCCTCCGTTTGATTCTCTAACAACGCATTTCCGTCACGCATTTTTTGATCGAGGGCCGCCACTGCTCAATCATGCTAATGTGTTTTTCCGGCCGGTAATTTGCCTAAAATATTGCTTTGTTTTGGTGCGAGCAGACGTAAGAGCGTAACAACTTTTACGTAACAGAATTTCGAAGAGAAAATAGCGTTAGAAAGTTGCACAAAAATTCTGGGATAAAGTGGGACATGGGAAATTGCGACGGGAAATGACTTCCTCCTCTAGAGGTTGTTTGAGCTTATCTCGGCATCGCTTAATGCGATTTTAATTCGGTAATACTCACCATTGTATTGAGAGTAGCCCCAGTCCACCGACATGCTGTAAAAAAATCATCGGTGGTTTAGAGGGATTCATTGCGAGAATTGAGGATTGAGTCTGGTCTTGACCTTTTTGGGTTCGAGCTGTGATTTCACTTTGCCTCAAAGATCGTATCTTGGATCGTGTTTGCAAAGTGGTCGAGTCAAGGATCATCAGTGAGGAGATGGAAGAAAGTAAAATCTTCGAGATATCGCGTGACCACACACGCTTAATTACAATTAAAACCGTCGTGTTGGTTAATTAATTGCTAAGAAATGTGAGTTTATGGAAATGGGCAACATTTAAATCACTAGAGCAAAAACTTGAACAGGATTATAATTTTTATCAATTTTTTATCGGTTTGATGCATTTTCTTAATTCCTCATTGATTGGTTTCATACGTAAACGATAAATTTCCGGGATTAGGTATTTACGCAAAAGGATTTTTGTTAAATAATAACACAGAAAGCGACTTTTTATATTGTTTTTTCGAAGAAAATAAAATATACATTTTGTAGTTTAAAATTTACAGAATTTTGGTCCGAGGAGTAAAATTACAAATTGGACATAAATAAAATTGTGAATTTTGAATACAATCTAAAAAAATATAAATATTTGGGGTATTAATTTTTACCCAGCTTGTAGTGGTAATTTAATCTTAACGTCAAAATTTGTAATTTGCAATTAAATATGAAAATTTCATACTCAACAAAACACTAAATTG